GTTTCTTGAAAACTTCATTTAATGATTGCTACTTAGAGTATTCCAAAGGATTAAGATAATTTCAATCTGCTGGGACATTTCTAGAAAAACAAGTTAAATGAAAGTCGCAAGAATTGAAAAAGAGGAGATTACGTTTTGAATTATCACACTATAATCACGTGTATTCATTGGTCGCCAATTATTTTACTTTTATGTAAAGACAAAACAAATTATGAATACAACGATATTTTTATAATGAGATTATTAGAAAAATGTGATAGTAAATCTGGGTATTGCATACAACATACAACCTGAGTTTCACAATTCGGAAGTTATATACTCTAACAGATATATGACTAACGTGCTCTCGAATTATGCATGTTCACACGACATATTACTAAAGTATGATCTAAAGAAGCAACAGAGAGAGAAATTCCCATCAGTGAGTGGAGTATTGGATAAATACCCCCTGATAAGGTGTGTGAGAAGTGGTGAAACTACCAAAGGCAGTTTCTCACGAACCGTTCCCATATAAAAGGAAGGTTTTTTCTTTTAGAAAAGGTGACTCACTACAACACACACAAAAAACGCAAAGGAAAAGACGCTCTCTCTCTCTAGAATTTGGAAAAGAGAAATTCACTTTGTGGTTTTCTTCCAGATTAACTTTATTGCTTCAGAGATAAGGAAAAGAGGTATTTATGCTGTGTTAATTCATTGTAGTTCATTTATATACAAATGTGATTGCAATGGTGACTATGATCTTGGGATTATATTAGAATATATGTTATTATATGTTATTTCCAACAAGTATAATATCATTGTCTCGTGAGAAGAGATGATATTCAGTCGCTTCTACTTTCATTAGGAATAATACAATGGAATTGATGCTCAATTGGTATCAAGGTGAGGGTCTGATGACGCTAAGCGAATAAGCTTAGAGGCGCAGGCGTGGACAAGTTAGAGCTTAGCCACAATAAAATTGCTGAAGTTTCTAATCTTCTTGCCCCAATCTTTTTAACTATTATTTTTTCAATAAAGATTGATTTGTAACTTATTTTTTACATTGCGTAATCCTGCTCATTTTGTCCAAAAAGAAAAAAAAGAATTATATTATAAAAGATGTATATACAATCAACAATTTATAAAATATTATGTTTGTATATGTAATATGCATTGATGCACCAATCTCATGATTAGTTGATTGTATCATGCATGAATTATATGAAGCCTTGTTAAATTATAAATTGTTGGTAACTTTAGTATTAAACATATACACCAAATTAGGACTTAGAATATTAATAAAACCTTCTTCCATATGAGTGATGTCATTGAGCTTTGCCAATGGGTCAAGCTATTATAACAAATTTTTTTGCATAAATTTGTAAAATAAGTCCATGGTTATTAATTCATAGTAATCCAATAGCTTCAAGATTTATTTAGTTAACATTAAAATAGTTAATTCTATCTTTTCAGTCAAGTTCATTTGATAATTTGTATTACAATAAGATAACTCTTATATGATTCAATTAATTTAGAAAATAAATTTTATATTACAATTTTATCATCAAATGTAGGACAGAAAAGACAAATCTATTTTACCTAAAGGCTAAAACTGTAATTTCATTTCTAAACCTTAATCTATTATTCCTTTATTTTTTTATTTTTTTATCAAAATTTATTTGAATTAACGTGGAAGAATAATTATAAGTACAAACTTGGGAAGTGCAGACAGTAAGTTGACAAACGCCAAACTTGCTTAACATACTTCAATTATGTGTAGAGAACCCAAATATTTTGCAATAATCCCAACAACACTAAGACGCAAAATCTTAACTTATTTAGTTAATTTTTGGTAATCTACAAAATTCGTGGGTGCGGTGAGAAAGTTAGTAAAAAATGAGCTAGCCATTTTGTAAAATTCACTAGGGATTGATCGTTAATGTATTAATCCTTTGGTGACTAATTAAATAACAAAACGTTTCTTGAGATTTTAAAAACTTCACTAGTGATTAAGAGTTAATGCATTAATTTGTTGTTATGTTTTAGGTATTAAAATAAATAACAAAACAATAATTCACTAAATATAATAGAATAAGTTTCAATAGCTCATTAATGATTTATTAATGGTAGATGGATTTTTATTATATCAAAAATTGAGTTTTTAGTTAAAACCAAGGTTTTGAAACCTGACACGAGTTGTCACCCTGCCAAGGCGCCAAGCCCCTGTTTGCCCGGTTCAACCAGTTAAACCGATGGTTTATTGGTGATCCAGAAAGTTTGAAATCTTACAAACACACCCCTAAAGAATAGTAGCAGTCTATATAGGTTTGAAATCTAGCAAATATACCCCTTTGATTGGACCCTAAATTGATTTTTCTGGCCAAATTTCAATGGCCAAAATTCAATCCAACACCACCACCTAAAGCATTGTCCTCTACTCTACAAAACCCCTTTAACTCTTGAATTTGGTAGCCCCTATTCGCCGACAGTGACTTGCAAACATCGTCGTGATTTGGTTGATTGTTTTAGCCAAATTTCGTCTGATTTTGGCGTTCAAAATTCAATCTGACACCACCACCTGAACCAGTGGCTTGCACTTTACAAAACATCTAACCTCAACACTTGTTAGCCCCCTATTTGCTAGCCATGACTTGCGTATTGGGTTGATTTTTCTATCCAAATTTTGGCTGATTCTAGCATCCAAAATTCAATTCGACACCATCCCTTGAATCATTGACCTCTACTCCATAAAAATCCTCTAACCTCGACACTTGATAGCTCCTCGTTCATGGGCGATCAGGTTAGGGATTTTGTGAACAATTAAAAATGGTAACTTGGACTAGATAGGGTTTCGATCACCAATCCGGTCGATCGGTTTGGTCTAGTTCTCAGAACACTGGCTAAAACAATAAACCTTGGGGGTCAACGTCTTTTTAACTCAAAAATTTAAGTAATAACATATTTTGTTCCTTTTGTCTCTTTGATTTTTGCTTTTTTGAAGAATTGAGTNTTTAATCTCTTGATTGTCCTCTAGAAACTTTATATTGACATCAATATCAAAATAATTTAAATGATCTTTGGTAAAGTCTGGCTGGCGATCTAATGTTGGATTAGTGTATAGATGTAAAACTGAACATATCAAGTTAATTCTGGTTCCTCATCTCGTTTGGATAATGCATCAGCTACCTTATTAGTGGTTCCCGGCCAATAATGGATGTCAAACGAAAATCCCATTAATTTGGACAACCATTTCTGCTGTTCCAGAGTCTTAATCCGCTGATCCTTGAGAAATTGGAGACTGCTCTGGTCTGTTCGAATGATAGACTTCCTACCCAATAAGTAAGGACTCCATTTGTGCACGGCAAAGACGACAGCCATTAACTCTCTTTCATAGACTGATTTTTGTTTAGCTTGAGGGGAAAAAGCCTTACTTAAGTAAACTATGGATCTTGTCTGTTGAACTACTACAGCCCCCATACCGTGGCTTGAAGCATCAGTGTGTATCTCAAATGGAGCGTTGAAATCAGGAGCTGCCAGAACTGGAACCGAAGTCATAGCCTCCTTCAATGATTCAAAGGCTTGTTGGGCCTCCAGATCCCAACTAAAAGAGTTTTTCTTTAGTAGTCTCGTGAGTAGTTGGACTATGCTTCCATACACCTTAACAAATCTGCGGTAATCCCCGTTAATCCCAAAAATCTGCGAAGGCTTTTCACATTAGATGGTGTGGGCCATGAAACCATAGCTGCAATTTTTTGGGGGTTAGCCTCCACCCCGTTAGCCGAAATTAGGTGACCCAAATATTTCAGTTTCTGCTGCCCGAATAAGCACTTTTTTACATTCACTACCAATTCATTATCGTCCAGTATCCGAAGAGCTTGTCGAAGGTGTATGATATGGGACTCCAAGTCGGGGCTATATATAAGAATATCGTCAAAAAAACAAGCGCAAATTTATGTAAAACTGGCTTAAAGATGTTGTTCATTTAGTGACTGAAACGTGGAAGGGGCATTGGTCAAACCGAACAGCATGACAAGGAACTCATAGTGCCCCTCATGTGTTCGAAAAGCTGTTTTGGGAATATCTTCGTCTTTGATCCTGATTTGGTGGTATCCAGACCGAAGGTCCAGCTTAGAGAAGATGGTCGCCCTTGCCAACTCATCCAACAACTCCTCGATGGTAGGGATGGGGAACTTGTCGGGGATTGTTATTTCGTTGAGGGCCCTGTAGTTAACGCAAAACCTCCAACTTTCGTCTTTTTTCTTGATTAACAACACCGGGCTAGCGTATGGACTAGTACTAGGGTGGATAATTCGGGCTGTTAACATCTCTTCCACCAATTTTTCAATTTCATTCTTTTGGAAATATGGGTACCTATAGGGTCTAATGTTAGGGGCTTGGGCACCTTCTTTAAGGGTTATGGCGTGGTCATGAGTACGGTGTAGAGGAAGTTTGGATGGCTGGTCAAAAAGTTGTTTATATTGATCCAAGACTGCTTGAATTCTAGGATTGACATCCTCTCCCTTAGACATTATATTTCCCTCAATCGAACAGCACTCCACTAGGAACCCTCCCCCTGTGTTATTAATGGATCGTCTCATTGATTTCAGGGAAACCACTGACTTCACCAGAGATGGGCCCCCTTGTGAACTAACTCTGACCCTATCCACCTCAAATTTCATGGTCAATTTCTTCCAATTGGCACACACATCTCCTAAAGAACTCAGCCATGTAACACCCAACACTACATCAGCTCCTCCTAACTCAAAAGGAAATAAGTCTTGCCTAATTCGAATCTCTTGTACCTCTAAAGGAACATGTCGGCACATCCCTTCCCCCTTCGCCGTGACTCCATTTCCCACCATCACCCCAAATAACTTCCCTTTCCACCACAATACCAAGCCTTCACACCAACTCATGTGAAATAAAATTATGGGATGCCCCCACTGTCAGCCAACACCACCACATCAGTATCCCTAATTTGCCCTTTCACCTTCAGAGTTTTATCTGACGTTATACCCACAATGGAATTCATGGACAGAGCTAAAGCGTTACCTTTTGGGTTGGAATTTTCGTCACTTTCCGGTGGAGATTCATCCTTCTTAGGTTCATCGTCTTCCCACGCCAACAGAATCTGTAATGATTTACTCCTGTAGCAATGATTGGGGCTGAACTTTTCATCACAACGAAAGCAGAGTCCCCTCTCCCTCTTGTACTGGATGTCGGCCTTGGATAGTCGTTGGAAATTTCCTCCTATTCTCCCTCGAAAACCCGAAGATCTAGTTTCCAGTGCTCTCTCCCTCCTTTCTGGTGCGCGAGACGACGCGACGTGACTGGAATCTAGGGGTTTTGTTGAATTGGGCCACCACACGGGTCGGGTCGGGTCGGGTTGGGTCTGGGCTACTGGACAATTTTGTTGAATTGGACCACCACGCGGGTCGGGTCAGATTTGGGCTGCTGGAGACTCTTGTATAATTTTCTTTGGCACCTTGGGCTTTAAAAAGTTTGGGTTGACATCTTTCCATGACCCAATTCTAGATTCTGGTGGTGGCTCCTACCCAGAAGTTATATCAAGTGCCCAAGCAGAATGGTTCCGGCATAAATCTCAAGAGATCAATCCTGATTCAAGGTAGAAGGATTCTGTTGAAATTTATTAAGGAAGGATAGGATACATTGAATCGAAGTTCTAAATTTTAAATAGTTAACCAGTAACATATTTGGTTTGCTGAGTAAAAGGGAGAAAATCATGAAATTGAGCTGAGTTCTGTTTTAAAGTTATTTTCTATCAAGATAGATCTATATGCCTTTTACAATTTTGATTGTTCTTTAAAGACACCAAATAAAGTCATGTGAAATATTATAAATATCTTTTTTGTTAATAAAAGTTTTATTTGATAGTGTTCCTGAGATAGTTTTTTGGCATATACCAAGTAGAGCTTATAAGAAAGTGGCTCCAAAATTTGAAATACACAGGCCTTGTGTGGGTTCAATTAATAAGGAAAGTGTTGCTCCTCAAGAAGCTGAAATGGGTATAATGAAAATTCTCGTCAAAAGGTCTTCTATCAAGGTGAGAACATAATGGAAGTGCTTATTTAGATATGCTATTACTGAAATGACATCATGCATACAAAATAAATTTGTGAGTGCCTCACAAACACTTCCAGTAATGATTGAGGTAGTGCTGAACTGTGCTTTTTCTATTGTCTAGTGTTTAGCTATGTGAAGATAAGAACACAATTAACTGGGATATGATTGAATCAATTGGTGCTCAAGTGGCATTTTGGATCTTAAGGGGTGGTTCCAAAAGCCTCTTTTAAACTCATTGGTCATTGTAGTTTGAAAATTCATTGCCCAATCATAAACTTCTCCTGGGATAAAATAATTACCTTGCAACCTGATTTATTGATTTGGTAGTTATGTGAAATCCCATTTAAAACTGCCTGCAGAAAAATAAAATTTGATGCATGTTTTGCCATTCTCAAGACATTTATTCTTTGCTTTAGGACAAATAGAGAAACTTGAGAAGGATGAAGGGGATTATTCTATGCTTGCAGGGTATAGAAAAGTCTGATTCTTAAGATTTCATATGTTATAATTTTCTAATGCAATCTGACTATTTCTCATTGTTTCCTGCTTCTGTCTGAAATAAGAATGGAAATCTCGTTGTCACAGATTTAGAATAATTCCTAAGTGAACGTTTCAAGTTTACATTTTTATTCCTGTTGTATTTTTCTCAGTGTCATGAAACCTTCAACAGTTGAACCATTACGAATTTCTTGCTCCTTACAAGAATTGTCTTTGCACATCTCTTTGGACTTATTCCTCTCTTTTGTCCTTAAATTTGCTCCTTGATTTGATACTCATGCTTAAATATCTTTACCCTCCATTTCAATCCATTTCCAGGAAACTGTGGGGACAAGAATTTGAAGTACTGCCACAGTAAATTTTTTAGGTTGAACATTATTGGGTGATGAAATGAATCTGAATCTTTCTATGTCATATATTTCTTTGGTAAGGTAGAGAGACAATTGAACAAGAACTTCAATACTATTTCAAAAGTAGATGTGCTCCATATGGTATGTTTGCTCAAATTGACCTCTGAATTGATGAAGAAGAATCTTTCTAAGTTGCTCGAATTGATCATGTTCATGATTTTTTGTTGATATCTTTTGTTATGCAATCCTTTTAGTGGCCACCAAACAGTGGATGTGTTACATATGAGCATAGGTGGTCCAGATTTTTCTTTAACGTATACAAATGGGTCCAACTGATTTGTATTGTTTTCATATGGCAGGCAGTGTTTGTTGGACACAACCTTGGATTGGACTGGTGCTGCCCCTACTGGAAGCTCTCGCTTTGCTTTGCTAGACATACCGGCTATGGTGGCTATGGAAATTGGGCCAGAGGAGCTAGAATTGTGGAGATCACTGAAGATCCTTTCTCCATTAAGCATGGATAAGGATGGAAGATGGAGATGTACATAGTGAAGTTATCTTGAGTTGATAAGTTGCAGCTTCCATCATGGATTGAAAAATGCTTAAAATAAGATGAAAAAGGTGAAATGTAAATGGTAACTATAAATATTTATGTTGGATAAATCATCCTTGTGTTCTCTGTATAGTTGATATGTAAATGCGTAAAAGGCCAGATACTCGGTGCTTCTTGTTAGTGAAAAATTTCATGAAACACTTCAGCAAATTCATGTTGATAGGTTAAATTAATTTAGGGAAATTTTGATCACAATCTGAAGATAATTTTTTATCATGATATATTAGTTTTATTTGGAACAAATATAAACTAATTTTGAATCCCTACGTTAAACTTCTTTCATTTTTGCTTTTTTATAATTAATTTTCATTTGGAATTACTTTGAAAAATTCTAAAATAATTAATTTTGGTTTTTATAAAAAAAAAAAAGTGTCTTCTAAAACAGCTGCAAATTTTAAAAACAACTGTATAAGCTTCGGTAAATTTACTCTAGTGACCAAAATTAATATATTTTTTTTTATTTAAAGTAATAATTTTTATAATATAGAAATATTTTTCAAACTAAATTAATATAATTCTATCCAAAAGTAATTCAAATAATGTCATTATATTATACTATATAATATATGAGACATGATCTTTTAACTTAAAATTTTGACTTAAATTTAGACCTAAAATGCTAAAGTGATAACCTATCTTTAGGAAAATTGTAGAAGTAATGTGAGCCATGAAGCCAAAGGTTCCTTTCTACATAAAAAAATTACATGCTTATCATTCCTTTTGGTGTTTGGGCCCTTCTTTTAATTTATGTGAATGTTCTAAAAGCTTTGTGGTCTGCCATTCTCAATGCATGGATGATATGATTAGCAAAGGCTTATTTAAACCTCAATCCAATCCAAGGAAGTAAACATAATCATACAACTTCAGTTGATTACAACATCAAGCTTTGAATTATAATCAATGTTTGCAGATGGGGTGTGTGACTCTCATCATACTCTCACTAACCTTTACTATATTTCCTTGGCAACTTATACTGACTTCACTTTTATAATGAAACTTGGGGTTTCACTTAAATATTCATACAAATGCTTTCACTTAATGCATATGCTCAATGTACTTTAATACAATTGTTGATGATTACATGTTTGAAAGTTCTCCTTTTGGTTGAGTGATGATTAATTGATGTATAATATTATTGCAACATCTTTTATATGAAAGTTTCATTACGGGTAACTACCTCTGAGTGGTTGAGTGGTTCAATAGGGACTTTGAATATATTACTCAACAGGTCTTGAGTTAGAGTTTCTCTCCAGTTGTTAATAGGGGCAGCCATTGGAAGTACTCTTATCAGGTCGGTAGTTTCAAGGTCCTAGGGATTAGTTGAAGTGTTATAAGCTGACCTGGACACCCCCGGTCATAAAAAAAAAGTCTTTTTTTTTTTTTCAAGTAATAATTTTAAAAAAGAGAAGAATGTACAAACGCCTAATAAAAGCGACTAGCCTATTTTGGGACATGCCCCGAAAATAGGAATCAAAAGAAACAAGCCTACAAACGGCCATCCGCTCTTAGGGTTTATCTTAAACCACATAGGGAGATAAACACCAAGAAGAAAGCAAGGAGAACACCAAAAATTCCATCTACCATAGGACACCTCCCTAGGTTAGGATCATTAAAAGAAAAACACGAGATCAAACTATTTACAAATGATACAAATACAACAAAGCAAAAACCGTTCTGCGTAACCTTCCGTACTCCAGTTTTCAAACGGTCTCGGGAACTTGAGGAACGTCTTTGAAAATAGATCTAGGGAGGCCCCAATCATTCACCAAGTTCCTATTACTATAGGATGCTTTGACATTCCTAAGGTCTATAGCTTTGTCTCTCACAACACTTTTGATAGCATCAATTATAGTGAAGGAATCCTTATAGTCACTCCAGAAAATTCAGATGAATTCATCTGTCAGACATGCTACATTGGTCCATGTTGACGGGCTCTAAATGAGATTTCCAACGGTATCTTATAGGCCCTGTAACTCTTCCTACATAAAAAGTTATGGCCGTCCGAATGGGACATGCTCATTTAAGCCCTTTGGGCTTTATGCCCATAGTTTTGACGTTCAGCCCGCTTCATTAATTCATTGGCCAGACATTATACATCAGTCCACATCACTAGACTTCTGACGGGCTCTAAATGAGCTTTCCAACGGTATCTTAAAGGCCACGTAACTCTTCCCAGATAAATAGTTATGGCCGTCTGAATGGGACATGCTCATTAAAGTTCTTTGGGCTTTACGCACGAAGTTTTGATGTTCAGTCCACTCTATGAATTCATCTGTTTACATTAATCCACATTGACGGGCTCTGAATGAGATTTCCAACGGTATCTTGTTGGCCTCGTAACTCTTCCCGGATGAAAAGTTATGGTCGTCTGAATGGGACATGCTCATTTAAGCCTATTGGGCTTTACGCACGAAATTCTAATGTTCAGCCTGCATCATGAATTCATCTGCCAGACATTCTACGTAAGTCCACGTTGATGGATTTCTAACGAGCTCTGAATGAGCTTTCAAACGGTATCTTACAGGCCTTGTAACTCTTCCCGGATAAAAAGTTATGGTTGTCTGAATAGGGCATGCTCATTTAAGCCCTTTGGGCTTAACGCACGGAGTTCTGACATTCATGAATTCATCTGTCAGACATTCTACATAATTTCACATCGAAGGGCTCTGAATGAGATTTCCAACGGTATCTTACAGGCCCCATAACTCTTCCCAGATGAATAGTTATGGCTGTCTGAATGGGGCATGCTCATTTAATCCCCTTGGGCTTTACGCATGGAGTTCTGATGTTCAGCCTGCTCCATGAATTCATCTGTCAAAGATTCTACATTAGTCCATGTCGACGGGCTCAGAATTGGATTTCCAACAGTATCTTACAGGCCCAGTAACTCTTCTAGGATGAAAAGTTATAGCCGTCTGAATGGGACATACTCATTTAAGCCCTTTGGGCTTTACGCACAGAGTTTTAACGTTCAGCATGCTCCATGAATTCATCTGCCAGATGTTCTATGTTACTCCACATTGATGGAATTCTGACGGGCTCGGAATGAGCTTTCCAACAGTATCTTACAGGCCCCGTAACTCTTTCTGGATGAAAAGTTATGGCCGTTTGAATGGGATATACTCCTTTAAGCCCTTTGGGCTTTACGCACGAAGTTCTGACATTCAGCCCACTCCATGAATTCATCCGCCAGATGTTCTACATTAGTCCACATCAATGGTATCATACAGGCCTCGTAACGATTATCGGATGAAAAGTTATGGCCGTCTGAATAGGGCGTGATCATTTAAGCGCTTCGGACTTTACACACGGAGTTCTGATGTTAAGCCCGCTCCATGAATTCATCTGCCAGACATTCTATGTAAGTTAGTGTCAGTGTAATTCTGATGGACTCTGAATGAGATTTCCAACGGTGTCTTACAGGCGCCGTAACTTTTCCCGGATAAAAAGTTATGGCCTTCTGAATGGGGTATGCTCATTTAAGCCCTTTGGGATCTGACGTTCAACCCACTCCGTGAATTCATCCGTCAAACATTCTATATTAGTCCATGTCAACCGGCTCTGAATGAGATTTCTAACAGTATCTTATGGGCCCCGTAACTCTTCTAGGATAAAAAGTTTTGGCCATCTGAATGGGACATGCCCATTTAAGCCCTTTTGGCTTTACACACGGAATTCTGACATTCAGCCCGCTCCATGAATTCATCCGCCAGACATTCTACATGAGTCCACGTTGATGGACCTTTGAAGGGCTCTAAATGAGCTTTCAAATGGTATCTTACAGGCCCCGTAACTCTTCTCGGATAAAAAGTTATGGCTGTCTAAATGAGACATGCTCATTTAAGCCCTTTGGGCTTTACGCATGGAGTTCTGACGTTCAACCCGTTCCATGAGTTCATCTGTCAGACATTCTACATTAGTTCACATCGACAGGCTCTAAATGAGATTTCCAACGGTATCTTGTAGGCCCCGTAACTCTTCCCGGATGAAAAGTTATGGCCGTCTGAATGGGGCATGCTCATTTAAGCCATTTGGGCTTTACGCACGAAGTTCTGACGTTCAGCCCACTCCATGAATTCATCTGTCAAACATTGTACATTAGTCCACGTCGACGAGCTCAGAATTGGATTTCCAACAGTATCTTATAGGCCTTGTAACTCTTCCAAGATAAAAAGTTATGGCCGTCTGAATGGGACATACTTATTTAAGCCATTTCGGCTTTACACACGGACTTTTGACGTTCAGCTTACTCCATCAATCATTTTCCAAATGTTCTACATTAGTCCATGTCGAAGAAATTCTAATGGACTCTGAATAAGCTTTCTAATGGTATCTTACAGGCCCCGTAATTCTTCCTGGATGAAAAGTTATGGCCGTGTGAATGGGGCATGCTCATTTAAGCCCTTTGGGCTTTACGCATGGAGTTCTGACGTTCAGCCCGCTTCATGAATTCATCCGTCAGACATTCTAAATTAGTCCACGCCGATAGGCTTTGAATGAGATTTCCAACGTTGTCTTACAAGCCCCGTAACTCTCCCGGATGAAAAGTTATGGCCATCTGAATGGGACATGCTCATTTAAGCCCTTTGCGCTTTACGCATGGAGTTCTAACATTCAGCCCGCTCCATGAATTCATCAATCAGACATTCTACATTAGTCCACTCAACGAGCTCTGAATGAGATTTCCAACGGTATCTTACAGCCCTAGTAACTCTTCCCGGATGAAAAGTTATTGTCGTTTGAATGGCACATGCTCATTTAAGCCCTTTAGGCTTTACGCATAGAGTTATGACGTTCAACCCGCTCCATGAATTCATCCGCCAGACATTCTACATTAGTCCCCATTGATGGACTTTCGACGACCTCTGAATGACATTTCCAACGGTATCTTATAGGCCCTGTAACTCTTCCTAGATGAAAAGTTATGGTCGTCTGAATTGGGCATGCTCATTTAAGCTCTTTGGGCTTTACGCACAGAGTTTTGATGTTCAGCCCACTCCATGAATTCATTCTCTAGACATTCTACATTAGTTTGTGTGGATGAAATTCTGAGGGGCTCTGAATGAGTTTTCCAATGGTATCTTACAAGCCCCGTAATTCTTCTCAGATAAAAAGTTATGGCCGTCTGAATGGGGCATGCTCATTTAAACCCTTTGGGCTTTACGCAT